AGGGACCATGAGTCCTTTTGACAGTTGTAGCTCACCTTGAATTGACTGAAATGTGCCGGAAGGGATATCAGAACCAAGTGCACTAACAAGTCTTCAGATAAATCCAACTTGAGTGCCTTTAGTTTTGAAGCAATGTGAGACATTTCCATAATGTACTCCTGAATGTTTCCTTTCCCTTTATACCTCATTGAGACAAGATTTGCCAAAAGTGTACTTGTTTCAGCCTTTTCATTCTTGGCAAACCTCTTCTCAAGGAAACCCTTAGCCGTAGTCACCTTATCGGACATAGTGCCCCGGAATGCTTCTGGAATAGCACGCTTCATGACCATTAAGCTTATGCGGTTCGATCGTTCCCACTTTTCCATCTCCCTCTTGTCATCAGAGGTACTCTTATCAATAAGTGTAGCAGGTTGATCGACCCATAAAGCAAGGTCTAGGTCCATGACTCCGAGAACAATCATAACATTCTCTTGCCATGCCCTGAAGTTTGTGCCATTTAACATTGGAATTGAATTGATGCTAGCAGAGATATTAGCAGCAGAACCTGAAACTGAATTAGAGAATATTTATTATGAATAGCTCACATGAATATCTTTAATATGAAAATAATAATAATCTCAAATAGTGATAGGGCACATCGCAAGATACCAAGCACAACATCAATATCCAGTCTTTGGACAGAGATATTGACTTGTAAGCGGTACTCTTGGTGTAGTGATCAAACATTGACGATAAAACAACGTGTCAATCAATAAACCTTTCTTTGGACCGGTTTATTGATCACACATTAAACCAAATAATCGTCACACGTTTATCACCACAGGTGCACATGTATTCGGCTAAATATTGACCTTCTTTTAGGCCGACCAATATTCCTATGAATAACACATGCACAAACACTTTTTAACATTCTAAGTTAGTCAAGAGAGGTTGCTTTGGCAACATGTTGCTTCAATTAACTAACTTTCGAATATTATATCTCTTAAAAGAGTTTTTAATACCAAAATTTGAGAAAGAAAATCACCCGTTTTGCATATTTCGATTAGTTTTAAACTTTAGGGGCCTTAGGATTAATAATTCAAAACTTTAAGAGGGCAAAATTAATTAATTTCAAACTTTAGGGGTTGAAATTAATAAACTTGAAACTTTATGGACCATAATTAATTAATTCAATACTTTAGAGGATCAATTAGAACAAATTTTAAAACTTTAGAGGCCAAAATTGACCAATTCAAAACTTTAGGGATCAAATTTTAAAAATTTGAAACTTTAGGGGTCAATTTGAATTTATTATGAACTTAGGGGGCCAATTTGAATTAATAATTAAATTTTGAGGGCTTTAATTATAAATTCAGAACTTTAATGGCCCGAATTAATTAATTTTAAAACCTTAGGGACTGAATTATTAAATCTGAAACTTAAAGGCCCAAATCTCAATATAACTTAAAGTTTAGGGACTGAAACCTTAATTTTATAATTCTAACCCTAATTGCAACCAGGGGCCTCAACTTATCTAATTTACAAAGGAAGCCCTTGTCCCCAAAAACCAGAAAACTGAAAAACCTAAAAAAAAAAAAAAAATTTCTTCTTCTGGCTGCGGCGCACTCCGGCGTCGCCCGGAGTAACGAGCCGGCGCCTGTAGCACAACCGCGGTGCTGCCTGCGTAGCGCTGCGCAGGCAGCGGCGCCATTGCCGCTGCCGGGAAAAAAAAAATTTTTCATACAAAAATCTGAACCCAAAATTCCAAAATCTGAATTTTTTCAACCATTAATCCGAATTTCGAAAATAACAAGAATTATACCGCAAAAATTTTCAAATTTAACAAAATATATAACCAAAAATTGTTAAATCTGAAAATTTCAAAATATATTGCAAGAACCAAATTATGTTATTCGATTCTCAATGATTCAACATGAAGAGGCTCTGATACCACTTGTTGGAGAATTTAGCGCTTTAAATTACCGGATCTTTCATGTTAAATCATCAAGAAATATAAGAATTAATGCGGAAGCATACCTGAATCTGACATGGTTAATGCAATATGAATTTCGCGATATGGTCTTCCAAATCTACACGCAGTCTCATTTTCCTCTCTGTGATGGGATGCAGTAGAGAATGAATAATTCGTTGCGTGTGATCTGGGGACCATAACCTATTTATATAGGGATGCCCTTTGACCTAATTCGGCCCATCATAGAATTAGGACTTGGGCCCGATCTCTACACATATGTAAACCCATACTTTAATTGGATACATTAAAGCCCAAAATCGAAGTCATATTAGATCACTTTAATTGGGCTCAACCGAATTCGATAGCCTATAATTTAACACATAATTATTCACACATACAAGCCCATCTTTAATTTAAAAATTCTTACAGTACCTTCTGATCCAGGAACGTCGACTTTAAGAAGCTTCCCAAAATCAATCCAAAATAAAATGGTAAAAGAAAACGGATAGAATGCAATCCCTTTAAGGAACGCATATTTGTCAATTACCTAATTGTGAACATGGATAAATTTAGAATTCACTTAGACTGATTTAATTCCGACTGAACAAGCATAGCATCTGCAGCTTGCTTTGATAAAATTGTTTTCCTGCATTAATTGAATTTCTTGAAAGACATTGGAGATCTCTGTGAATTTCAACTAATTGATCATTAAAAGAAGTGGACTTAAACACAAAGCTGTAGACATGTGAGTTAATCTAATATCAGTTTTCAGCATTACTTACGTGCCCACACAAAAGTCCTTCCTTAGATGGTAAAAGTTCAAACCAAAATATTCTAAAACAGGCTTTATAGATTTGATATGAACCAGTTACTAGGATAAACTGATTTGATTGAAACACTGAGCAAATGGAACGATTTGAGCATAAATGCATCAAGCACACCTATAATCATTATTAGAGTATCAAACTGCTTCAATATAAGTGAATGCATTCTAGGAACCCAAATTAATGAATTTATGAAGTAACTTAGGGATGATAATCGGGCTCGTCGGCTCGGGCCGCCCGTGGTTTGGCTCGAAAAAAGATCGAGCCCGCCCGGCTCGAGGCTCGGGCCGAGCCCTATTTTTAGATGCCGAGCAAAGCTCGAGTCGGCCCGTGTGGCTCGCAGGCTTGGAGCATATATTTTTAAAAAAATAATAATAATAAACAAGGCAGCGTGCTGTTGCCAGAAATAGGGCAGTAGATTGCTACCAAACAAGGAAGCAACCTGCTGCCATTTTATTTAATAAAAAAAAATTCCAAAACCAAACCCGAGCCGGCCCGGCTCGGCTCGGAAAGGCCAGAGCCAAAAGGTCAGGTCGAGCCTAATTTTTTTTGCCAAGCAACCGAAAAAAAGCTCGGGTACTTTAACCGAGCCGAGCCCGAGCCTAGAATTTTGGCTCGACTCGTTGACATCCCTAAAATAACTCCATGACAAGTAGTATTTCTCACGGTAATTTCCAAGATTTGATTTGTATAAGACAAAAAAAAATGAGTACTGATGTGATGACCGCAGATTTAGCGAGTCCCGAACTCGACCCATTAACCCCGAATTGAACCTCCCTCAAAACCGCCAAATCAAGGTTGGGCTTCTATGTCATCATGTCAATCCTTTTTAACGACCTATGGGAGCACTAATTCTACCCAACCTATAATTCTTACCTTACTAGATTCCCTTTTCAACTCAAATTGAAGTGGAACACTTGGAATAAAATACGAACTCCTTATTCTACGAGGATAAGGATTATACATGGATGAGTCCTTCTAGGACTATATCACCAACACCTATAAATACATAACTCGGGCTCATTCTTTAGGTATGTTTTTCATTATTTTTAGTTTATTGCCTCACACACTATATTCTCTATCTGACTTAAGCATCGGAGGGGCGACAAGCACGCACCTTGTTGCCTTTATTTCAGGTATTCGAAGATCGTTCATGTTCACTCAAGTTCACCCAAGTTCGGAGTTCGGTCATCCAGTTCGAGATCTTTGTACGATTTTTTTTGGTAGCATCATTGGCGCCGTCTGTGGGAAGCGCTACCAAAAGCCATGGTGAATACACGTTCAGGTCTTCCTCCAACAAGCTTATCCGTCCTGGATAACCCTCATCCTCCTGAGGAACACCATGTCCCTCAAGAAGAATCATCAGAGATGCCAGCACCTCCTTCAATTGTTGTTACCGCCGGAGCTTTTGAGGATCTTCGACAGTAGGTTGCTTCATTAACCCAATTGTTAAGCTACAAAAATTCGCATCTATCATATACTCCAACCCCTAAAGGTGATTTTATGGCAGATGCCCGAGCTCGAGTTCCACGTACAGCTCATGATGATGTTGGGGTTGGAACTTCGGGTGCACCGCAAATGGTTTTAGGTTCAAGGTCAGTTACAATGGACTCCGCTGAACTCGCTAAGATTATTTAAGAAGGGATAGCAGCGAGTATGTAACAAAACACTCAGGCAACAACAAGATTCACTCCCAATAGGCCATTCACTCCAGAAGTTCTCTAATGTCCCCTCCTGGACAGGTTCAAGTATCATCGAATAAAGGAGTATGATGGGACAACTAACCCCATCAACCATCTCAATGTGTACACGGATAGCATGAACCTACAGGTTGCATCGAATGTAGTAATGTGCAAGGCCTTCTCTCAGACCCTAACAAATGCAGCTAGAGATTGATTTTCCACATTGGAACCCAACTATATTGCCTCCTTCTCAGATTTGGCCGATAAGATCTCCGCTTTCTTTGCAAATAGCAAGCGAATAAAAAAGACAGACGCATCACTCATGCAGATACGTCAAGGACCCAACGAGACACTTCGTAGTTTCACGACGATGTTTAATAAGGAAAGGCTTCAAATCCCCGATCTACATATCACTACCCAGTCTCAGCTTTGACATACGCCATTAAGTGTGAAGCATTCAAGATATCTCTATCTAAGACTCCACCAAAGTCAGTAACCAAGCTACTCACATGAGCTGAGAAATACATTAACATAGAAGAAACCATGGCCCTAAGGAGAGAAGTTTCCTCATCAGGAAAGTCCGATCAGAAAAGGCCACATGAGTCTAATATGCGACAAAATGCACCTCGGGTCAAGCCAAGACAGGACCCCCTCCCAACATCTTTTACTCGTTTGAACACTTCGAGGTCCAACATTCTGATGGAGATCAAGGATTTGAAGGAACTAAAGTGGCCTCCTAGATTGCGGTCTCCACCCGATACTCGTGATAAGAGTAAGTACTGTGATTTCCATAAGGATCATGGACATACAACGGAAGATTGTTTCACCTTAAAACGAGAGATTGAAGCTTTTATGAAAAGGGGATTTTTTGGTTCTTATGTTAGCAATGACAAGCACCCGAGGAATAATCAGAACCGAGACAAGGCTCCAGAGGGTCGGGAAAACAAGCAACCAACCGCAGGTACTATCAATATCATTGTCAGAAGAATGGCCTCGAGGAGAGATTCTAGCAGCCGACGTAGACAGTATGCCAGGCAGCCTCCAACCATCTCAAAATCAGATCTTGGTTCTATAGAGGACATCACTTTCGGAGCGAGGGACTTGGAAGGCATATCATTCCCTCATGATAATGCTCTGGTCATATCGGCCATCATTGCCAACTTTGAAGTCAAGAGAATTCTGATAGACAATGGAAGTACAGCCAATGTACTGTCTCATGAAGCCTTTGATCAAATGGGGATCTCAACAGAACAGCTCAAGCCAATCAAAACACCTCTCCAAGGGTTTGGAGGCGGGGTCATCACCCCGGAAAGCATCGTCGGGTTACCTTTAAAGTTGGGGTCAGAACGTAAGCAAGTGACACAGATCACCACTTTTGAAGTTGTCCGTACTCCAATGGCCTACAACGTCATATTGGGAAGACCACTGCTCAATAGAATCCGAGCTATTGTCTCAACTTTTCACTTAGCTACGAAGTTCCCTACAAATAATGGAATCAAGGTGGTTCCAGGTAGCCAAACAGTGGCCCGACAGTGTTATGTGACTAGTGTCCGAAAAATTAAAGGCAACGTCATGCAAGTCTCAGAGCTTGAGCCCAAGCATGAGAATCATGAAAGATTGGCTCCAGTAGAAGGGTTGCAAGAGGTCGAGCTCGAGCCTGCTAGGAAAGTTACAATTGCATAGAAGCTAGAAACAGTAGTCATGGCTGAACTATTGAATTGTCTCTCCCGCAACATTGATGTATTTGCTTGGAATGTTGAGGACATGCCCAGAATTGACCCAGGGGTAGCAGTGCACAGACTCAACATAAATCCATAGGCAAGACCTGTGAAGCAATGAAAGGGAAAGTTTGCACCTGAAAGATGAGAAGTCATAAAAGAGGATATTGCTAAGCTTGCTAACACACAGATCATTCGGGAAGTACAATATTCTAATTGGCTTGCTAATGTAGTTCTTGTCAAGAAGACTAATGGGAAGTTGCGAGTCTGCATTGACTTCACAAATTTAAATAAAGCATGCCTTAAGGACAGTTACCCTCTACCTCGAATCGACAATCTTGTGGACAGCACGTCAGGTCATATGCTATACAGCTTCTTGGATGCATTTTCGGGGTATTACAAAAATACTCATGGCAGAAGAAGATCAAGAGAAGACCTCATTCATGGCCGACTCAGCCATCTATTATTACAGGGTCATGCCTTTTGGACTGAAGAATGTTGGAGCAACGTATCAAAGGTTGATGAACAAGGTCTTCGTCAAATTAATTGGAAAAACGGTTGAAGCATATGTGGATGATATGGTGGTTAAGAGTAAACGAGTGAACGATCATGTCTTCGATCTTGAGGAAGTATTTGCTACGTTACGAAGGTACAGGACGAAGCTCAACCTTGGAAAGTGTGCGTTTGGAGTATCATCTGGAAAGTTTTTGGGTTTCATGATCATACACAGAGGAATAGAGGTAAACCCTGATAAAATCCGAGCTCTGATAAGTATGGAGGCCCCTAAGTGCAAAAGGGACATTCAGAAGTTGACAGGTCGCATAGCAGCACTGAACATGTTTGTCTCTCGAGCAGCAGACAAATGTTTCCCTTTTTTTTAAACTACTTAGGGGAAATAAGTGTTTTGAATGGAACGAGAAATGCAACTTAGCTTTTCAGGAGCTCAAGCAAACACTACCAACACCTCCAGTTCTTACCAGACTAGAGCTTGGTGACATGTTGCTATTGTACTTAGCCGTCTCTCAGAATGCGATAAGCGGAGAGTTGGTAAAGAAGAAATGAAGGGTTCAGCAGCCTGTCTTTTTTGTAAGTAAGGAACTCCTTGATGCCGAAACACGATACATACTTGCAGAACAGCTTTGCCTTGCTTTGGTAATAGCTGCTAGGAAATTACGACAGTACTTTCAGTTGCATCCAATTGTTGTGCTCACCAACCAACCTCTTAGACACATACTCTAGAAGCCAGACGTTTAAGGAAGACTGTTGAAATAGGCGATTGAACTTGGCAAATTTGACATAGAGTTCAAGCTACCACCACCTATCAAGGCTCAAGCTTTGGCAGACTTCATAGCAGAACTCACCCTAAGGTCCCTAGAAACACAGGCTGAAGACCCGAGTATGACCTTGAAAATATGGGAGATCTTTGTAGATGGAGCATCCAATAGCTTGGGCTCAAGGGCCAACGTCATCGTTACAAGCCCAGACAAGAATATGGAAATACAGTGTGCGCTCTTATTGAATTTGAGGCCACCAACAATGAAGCAGAGTATGAAGCTATCATCATAGCTTTGGAACTTGCAAAAATCTTGAACTGGAGCATGTCAAAGTTTTCAATGACTCAAAACTAGTGGTTGGGAAAATCGAGGGGTCTTTCGAAAGAAAGGACAAAAAGATGAGATCATATTATTTGAAAGTACATGACCTTCGAATGTAGTTCGTAAGTTGTGAAATCCTAAAGGTAGCCAGAGCTGATAACGCCAAAGCTGATGCATATCCAGACTCATCTCTGTGGGTGTGGACGGGCTTGACAAAATCGTGCACGTCAAGATAGTGGTAGAACCTAGCATAGCTCAAAAGCCAAGTATCATGGACATCGACCATGAGCCCTCCTGGATGGATCCAATAGTTGATTACATAAGCAATGGCAACTTGCCCTTGGACCCTCGGCTTGCTAGAAGCATTCGGTATAGAGCTACTAGATATTATCTAATCAAAGGAGTTTTGTTCCACAGAAGTTTCACACTCTCCTATCTAAGATGCCTCAAAACTTTCGAGTCTCTTCAAGCCTTGACTGAAGTTCATGAAGGTATTTGTGAAAACCACCAAGGAGCCCAAGCTCTTGCATACAAGTTGATAAGGTATGGGTACTACTGGCCAAGTATGAAAAAAGATATAGCAGATTATGTTCGAAAGTGCGACAAGTGCCAAAATTTTGGCAACATTATACATGATTCTGCTGAGGAACTAACTTTTGTTCATTACTCGGCTCTGTTCGAACAATGGGGAGTTAACATTCATGGACCATTTCCTTTGGCCAGAGGACAATTAAAGTTCATAGCTGTGGCAGTAGAGTACTTTACAAAGTTGGTAGAGGCTGAACCTCTGGCAACAATTTCAGAGCCCAAGCTCAGATCATTCATATGAAAGTCCATCATATGCAGGTTTGGAATGCCAAAAGTCCTCATCACAGATAACGGAAGGCAATTCGACAATCCAAAATTCAAGAGCTTTTGTGCCAACCATGGGATTGATCATTGCTTGACCTCGGTATCACACCTACAAAGTAATGGGCTTGCTGAAGTAACTAATCGGATCATACTGCAGGACTTTCGAACAAGAATAGGGGATGCCAATAGTGACTGGTCTGATGAAATACCTTCCATACTATGGGCATACATGACTTCGCATAAGATAGCAACTGGTAAGACACCATTCATGCTGGACTTTGGACTTGAAGCTACCATTCCAATTGATGTCAACCTCCCCACAATAAGGAAGCTCGAGACAAATACGAAGAGACAAACTATTGAACACCTTAACTTGCTTGAAGAAGTAAGAGAGCAAGCCTCACTTAGAGCTACAAGTTATCAGAATAGAACAGCAAGTCACTTCAACAACAAGGTCCAGACTAGAAGGTTCAAAGCTAAGGATTTTGTCCTTAGAAAAGCAGAAACTGCCGGACACCCACTAAGGAAGCTTGGACCGTCATGGGAACGATCCTTCGAGGTCATACGAAAACTAAAAGGTTGAGCTAACAGCCTCAGGGACACTTTCGGGAAACCGCTTCCAAGGCTATGGAACGCCGACAATTTAAAATTTTATTACAAGTAATTAGCCATAGCTATAGTTTTTCCTTTTAAGGCTTGCATGCCCACATTATGTTTGCTTTCTTTCATTTTTACTTTTTAGGCTCTAATGCCCTAACAGTTCATGCTCCAATAAACTCGGGTGTTAATGCTCTTGAGCCCTTTTTATAGTATATGAATTCTCCTTTATGTTGTTGCTTCCCTACAAATCAAATTAGCATAAGGCTGTGCCCCACACATGCAACTAATACTTTATCAAATTAGCATAAGGCTGTGCCATGTTCATGCAACTAATACTTTATCAAATTATTGTAAGGTCATGCTCCGTGAATGCAGCTATGCCTTAACAAAATTAGTGTAAGGTCGTGCCCCACGCATAAAGCTAATACTTTATAAATTAGCGTAAAACCGTGCCCTACCATGCGTCGAGCATGCAGCTATACTTTATAAATTAGCATAAGATCGTGCCTCGCACATGCGTCTAATGCTCAACCAATTAGAGCCAAACACATTGTGTACAACTTGCCCGACCAAAATTGTCTAGAGTACCAGAAATCTCAGACATTACGATCACACAATGGAAGCTTGAAGATCTATATCCTCGAGCTCAAAAATCCAACACAACCCCACCATCTCATACATATTCTAACCTCGAGCTAGCTATAAACATCCTCGGCTTGATGTCTTTACGACACTCGAGCAAATTAAATGTCAAGCGTGATTTACATAAAGCACGATCTTCATTCATCGGATGGACCCAAAAAAGTCTTAACATCAACCTTAAATACTCGATCTCATTGTACGCCATGAGCTATAATAAAGCTTGAACTAGTAACAAATAAACATCATACACGATCTTGTAATAGTAAGAATCAATTGCATGAACAAAGGTTGATCAAATTTCAAAAAATAATATTAGGCCCAATTCGGCCAGTGTACATAACAAAAATAGTTACAAAAAATGTCTAACTCGGGGTCGGGGCCTAATCTAGTTAAATGGGGTCGCTCCCCCTTCCTGGTCAGGGGTCCCATCATCATCACCATCGGCCTCTAAAGAAGAAAGCTCGAGGTCCTTGGCAATCTCGTTCACGATCTTTAGCTCCTCGATCACGGGCTTCAAGTCCTCGGAGAGCTTAGTCCGGAGAAATAAGCGAGCTAGTCGTAGCCCGTAGTAATACGAGCCAGACCCGTATTGACCCAGAAGAGTCCTGAACTCATCAAACTGCTTGGACTCCTAGATAGCCAGAGCACGAGCCTCTGTCCGAGCCCCCACCAACTCCAGGGTTGAAGGAGCTCGAGCTTCGCCTCCTCGACCTCATCCTTTGCCACCTCGATCTCATCTTTGGCCTTCTTAAGGTCCGCGTTGGCCACCTCCAGGGACCTTTCAAGCTCGAGGGCCCTCTTACACACCATTTTAATCTTGGCCTCGAGCTCGGTTATCTGACTCGAGGTATTCAGGCCCTTGAGGTCCAAAACTCAAGCTACGCTTAATGTCTGCAAAAACAAGTATCGTACTCAACGTCAGGTCAAAACAAAAACTTATGATAAGGCAATAGAAGTAACCACATTAAAGGTAAACCTTCAAAGTAAGAAGGTCGAGGGTTCGAACCCTTTCATGAGAATCGACCTTCTTCTCGTACTTATCCACTATGCTCTGGTTAAGATCACACTCAGCATACTCCTCGAGCGACTTGATGGGCGTTGGGTTGTTGTTGTCAGTGAAGAAGTCCGACCCAAAATAAGGAGTATGAGCCTGAGCTTGCTGCTGAGGTGTAGGCTAGCTCGGACAGGTCGGGTTCTTTAAGCTCTGCCCCCAACTTATCGAGGCAAGACGGGTGGCCTCCCTTGCCCGCTTCTTTCCCTTCGATGGAGTAGTGGT